ACCTCCAACCTGATCCTAAAACCTAGCTCTTCTGTAGCCCCCGGAAGGCGGGGTCTGGCTTCCTTGTGTTTCCCAGAGGTGTCCTAGTGCCAAACCCATAATAAATGTTATTAATAGTTAAATAAAAGGATAAAACGATCACCAGATTTTTAAATTTGCTATCCAAGGCCTTCCATATTCACTGGGCAGGTATTTGTCAAGTGCCAATGATACTCCGGGCATCGTGTCAGGTAAGCAAAACAGAAGAGTCCTAAATTCACGGAGCTCATGCTCTCTGATCCTGTCCTGACCATATCTAACACTTCCCTAAACAAATTCTTTTCACAGCTCCCCCAAACACCCATTGAGCAATCTGTACTTTTATTCAATTTAAAATTTTATTTGAGCACCCATGATGTGCTAGCATTATGCTAAATATGCTAAAGATAGCCCCTTAACTTAGTGCTCACAAGAATCCTTCCAGAGGGGTCATCCTGGCCCCATTTTATACAAGGGGAAAATGAGATTAAGCAACTCACTTAATCCCATGTGAAGGTGCCCACTGCCCACTGGTTAGCATTCCACCCCAGGCAGGCCCCTCTTATCATCCACACCTGTCCCCTGGAGCGCCACTACTGGCAAGGAAGCATTTGACCCTGCGGGGCCGGGGGCATTCCAGTCCAGGTACGTACCTGGAGCCCGGCAGGAAATCACCCTGTGTGTGCATGTCTGTCTGTCTGTCTGTGGGACCGGTCCCATTTGGCTGTGGAACTAGAAATAAGGATATTGAGAGAAGACTGGAAAAGACAGGAAGTAGCTGGCTGCAGAGTTCCTGGATTGCTTTTCTTTACATCCCTAAACCGTAGTCCTCAGCACTTCCCATGGCGAACTTCTACCGACATCTGCCTCGTCTTTATTATTGTACTGCTTTGTGTGTTGGCCAAGGAAGCTCCCAGAAGTACTCAGGATGTGAGGCAGCTGGTCCAAACTGCCTTGGTTAGTGGAGGGTCAAGTCTAGAATCCGAGCTTACTTTCCAGGTTATGTTCATTGTTATTTTTTGAAACAAAATGAAAGTCAGTGGCATTCTTGCGTGTTCGGTGCTGTGACCAGAGCGCAGGCGTCGCGCAGCCCCGGCGCAGGAGCAAGACGGCTTCGCGGCCCAGCCTTTGCCTTACATCCGGCTCCGGAGTCCCCGCCCCGACCCTGCTTCTCGCAGCTGCCAAACCGTCTCCCTCCCAAGACCATGCTTTTGGGAGCAAGGAAAGAAAAGCAACAGTAAGTCATTTTGATAAAATAAGAACTGATAGATCCAGGTAAAATTATTGTAATTGGAGCCACAGACACTGCACTGGCTAGCATGGAAAAAAATCAATAAAATAATAATGCTCACATCTCCTCTCTTTTTTCCCTCCCCTTCCCTGAAGTTCTACTTTGAGCCGTGTATTTTCTGCCTTGGCAACGTTTAATATCTTGCCAGAGGCAGGGACACAGGGGGAAAAAGCTCCTGCCTACAAAGAAAGGGAAAGGTTTTGTGGGAAAGACTTAGAATTTCGAGACTTATATATTGGAACTCGCAGGAGGAAAATCTAGCACTCTGGAAATAATGATGCCAGCACTGGGTCACGTGGGCAATTCAGCTTCCCTGCATTGCCTCAACAATGATCCCGCAGCCTGATTTCTCCCCAACCTGACGTCAGAAGAAGGATGGTTTGTTCATTCATTCAATATGTTTGTCCCTTACTATTTACAGGGAAATTGAAGAAACACAAAATGAAAACATAGCTCCCTGGACCCCTAGGTGGTGTCACAGGGCAGTAGGGAAGAAAAAACAACTACAGAGTGACCAACACAGGTGGTGGCCAGAGACTAACAGGGGTCCTCACACAGCCTCTGCTGTGCCACTCTCCGCCGAGGGGCCAAGACTGAGGGTCAACCAGCAACGTCCCGTTACAAGTGCTAAAGGGCACCCTGCCCCTACTTTCACTTTTCACGTAGCACCTCACTTCCACCAGCACCCCTAGTGTTTAGATATTATTATTATTATTATTGTTATTATTTTGAGACAGAGTCTCACTCTGTTGCCCAGGCTAGAGTGAGTGCCATAGCGTCAGCCTAGCTCACAGCAACCTCAAACTCCTGGGCTCAAGCGATCCTCCTGCCTCAGCCTCCCGAGTAGCTGGGACTACAGGCATGTGCCACCATGCCCAGCTAATTTTTTCTGTATATATTAGTTGGCCAATTAATTTCTTTCTATTTATAGTACAGACGGAGTCTCGCTCTTGCTCAGGCTGGTTTCAAACTCCTGACCTCGAGCAATCCGCCCGCCTCAGCCTCCCAGAGTGTAGATATTATTATTATTAGCACATAAAACAGGGGTCCTCAGACTTTTTAAACAGGGGGCCAGTTCACTGTCCCTCAGATCGTTGGAGGGCCGGACTATAGTTTAAAAAAACTATGAACAAATGTCTATGCATACTGCACATATTTTATTTTGAAGTAAAAAAACAAACAGGCAAAAACACCTGCATGTGGCCCACGGACTGTAGTTTGAGGACACCTGACATAAAATCTAGGCTTGGATCTCTGGCCCTCTGGCTTGTGGAGAAAGGAAGAATAGGCACAGAAGATGGGAAATTCACCTCCACAAACTGTGAGCTGGAGGCTAAACAAAGAGACAACTTCCTGGATCTAAAGGAGTCACTGATTTATTTTTTTCCTGGCCATGTGCAGAAAGTCACAATGGACATCGTCTTTTCCTCATGTGTGCTCAGTGATGGCATGCTTACCACACATTTTCCCAATTCCAAGTTCACAGCCCACCCTCCTTCCTGGTGCTCCTGCCTGAAAATGTGCCTCCCACCTTCCGCCTCTTTAGCATGATTGCTCCTCTTCACAGATGAGGAAACTGGGACCCAAAGACAAAGAGCCTGTCAGAGGAGAGGCCAGGGCAGGGGTGAGGTCTTCTAATCACAGTTCCTGGTATTTTCCATTCTAAAATGCTGCACCTCCTCATTCCAGCTTTTATTTTCCCAAAACTCTCTCTGCCCCCATTTCATCCTGGCAGTGGGTCACAAGTCCCTGAGTGATAAGAATGCATAAAACAGTCAACTTTAATCCAGCCATTCCACTCCTAGATATTTACCAAAGAGAGAGAAGATGTGTCTTTAAAAAGACTTAGACATTAATTTTTTTTGCATCTTTATTTGTAATAATCAAAAACTGAAGACAGTGCAGGTGTCCATTGATGGATGGCTGACGTATTAATGGTACACAGACTGTGGCAGGTCCATGCCATGGAATATTGCTCATCAATAAAAAGGAACAAACTACTGGTGCATGTAAAAACATGGATCATCTCAAGACATTATGCTGAGGGAAAGAAGCCAGAGACAAGAGCACACACCGTGGGATTCTGCTTAGATGAAGCTCTAGAATGGGCAAAACGGGTGTTTGCTCGCAGGGACTGGAAGGATGCAGAGACATAGGGGGGCTGCAGGAGGAGGGAGGAATTAGCTGGGAAGAGGCAGGAGGAAACTCTTTGGAGCTCTAGATCTTGAAAATGTTCCCTATCTTGATAGGTGTGTGGTTTCATGGATATATGCACTTGTTAGAACTGACCAAATTGTACACTTAAGATCTGTGCACTTCAACATCGTGAGTTCTAGCTACACATGGAAGACAGGGCAAAAAGGAAGTGCATGACTGTTGGAAAACTATACAGAAGTAAAGAAGTAAGCAGAAATGATCCTGATTTTCTGACATCCAAATTTGACACCTCCAAGTTAACTCCTATTCATTGTTTCACGCAATTACCTTTCTGGGCATCCTGGAATATAATTATACTTGAATGGGCTCACCCATTTGACTGAGCTGTACCCGGCTCCATGACAACACATAGAGCAATAGGCCAAGAGATGGAAAACAACCAGTTCTGAATCTCAACAGTTTCCTTTATTTTGTTAAATATTAATTGTTTTTCCACCTTAGAGCACTCAGAAACATTTTTGTGGTTGCCACTGACGGGTAAAAGAATGTTTTGATGACATATTTTTCTGAATGGTTTTTCTTTGGGAGCCACACCCTCCTTCCCCACCTCATCCCAGGTTCCCATCTCCTTATCCCTCTTCTCTTCTTGACATGCTGTCTAATCATTGCTGCCTTTTTTCCACTTCAACTGTGCAAAACTCTGCCACCTCTGCCACCTGAGCCCTCCTGACAGGCACAGAGACAGTGTTGATCTCTCATAGGCTGGATTAGAGTCCAAGAATGAGGACTCCTCTGAAAGTCTAAACACTGCAAAGACATTCCTTGTGACACTTTTGTTATCTATTAAGTGGGAGAATACACAGAGAGGAAAAGCTACTATTAATTACATGTAATGCCTTTAAATGGATTTGTATCTTATTAACTATAAGAGAATCTGTATGCATTAAAACATTATTAAAATAATAATAGCAGCTACTATTTATTGTGGACTTATTATGTGCCAGGTATTTTGCTATAGTAATTGTTCTCCATGCATTTATCAATAATACAGCATTAATAGCTATAATAACTGCTACATCAATAATATAGCAATAATAGCTATAATAACCACTCTCCATGCATTTATCTGTAATTTGTGCCATGACTCTACAGGGTGGGTACCATTGCTATCCTCACTGTATAGGTGAGGAAACTGAGGCACAGTGAAGTTTTTGTTTTTTTTTGAGACAGAGTCTCACTCTGTTGCCCCACCTAGAGTGCAGTGGCATCAGCCTAGCCTACAACCTCAAATTCCTGGGCTCAAGCGATCCTCCTCCCTCAGCCTCCTGAGTAGCTGGAACTACAGGCACGAGCCACCATGCCTGGCTAACTTTTTCTATATATTTTTAGTTGGCCAATTGATTTGTTTCTATTTTTAGTAGAGATGGGGTCTCACTCTTGCTCAGGCTGGTTTCAAACTCCTGACCTCGAGCAATCCACCCGCCTCGGCCTCCCAGAGTGCTAGGATTACAGACGTGAGCCACCACGCATGGCCTTACAGAGAAGTTAAGTAACTTGCCCAAGCTCACACGAATGGGCAGGAGTGGCCCAGAATTCAAAGTGTGACAGGCACAAAGGATTTAGTGCCACTCGATCCTGCCTCTTTTATTTACTTACTCTGTGGACAGTGTGTGCCACGCCTATGGGTTCTCCAGCGCCTGGCTTACACTCGAGGGCCTCCCAGGAATCTGAGTCTGCCAGCAGAGAGTCACAGGCTATTTGGGGAAGGTAGGTGCACTCAGCGTGGAGTTGAGCTTCAACCTGTGGGCCGGCATAGGACCTCACTAACTCTGGCCCCATTCTTTGAACATAGCTCAATCCCCTGAGCTTCTGCCCAGACCGGCTTGTCCCAGTGTCCCCAGAGGCTAGAGGGGTTAACAGTTTGCAGACCATTAGAAACAATAATCACCTTACCCAGTAACCTGATCTGCCTCCAAAGAAGGGTCTTGATTTTGGCAAACAGTGTAAGTGGCCCGTGTGTAAAGTGGAGGGCGGAGGCAGCTGCCCAACTGCCACACTGGTGTTGCTTCTGAGGCAGTCGGAATTCGTGCAGGGATCAAGCCAGGCCCAAGGGTCAGTTTCTGGGCCTAGGAGGGTGAGCTCACGCCCTTCTGGCTGCTCTCCCCTCCTGGAATTCTGGAAATGCCTCTCCTATATATATGGTGGTTTCCCACACCGTTGCTTTCCCGGCCCAGCCAGGGGGAGCGAGTGACTTTCTTTGATGTCCACTTGACCAAGCGCATTCATTGACTCTTTACTGTGTGCTCAAGGGCACGCTCTTCTTTAATCCTCACCACTAAGCATTTTTGCTTATTGAGATTTCCATTTTGCAGGTGAGAAAGAGGAGACTTAGAAACAGCAGTATGCAGGAGCCAGATGGTTAAACTTTCAGGAATTTGGCAAGCTAGCGTTTAAACACAGTCATTACTGAAAGTTAAAATTATGTAAACTTATAATTAAATACGTTACATTTGAAACAAAGCTAATAAATACTCAAAATTCTTCACTTCCTGATGATTTTACTCCATTTCATGAGTACTGTGCTTTGGAGGTTGTTGATGTCTATGGTATCTTTTTTGTGGCAGAAATGCTGTAGAGCCGTGTGCTTGCCCTTCTACTTCTCTTCTCAACTCTCCATTCAGCGACATCATGTTGATACCTTGAAGTGGGCCATGGTGGGGGTATATTTACACCACAAGAATTGGCAAATGTACAAATTAGGGGTTGCATTTTTTTTTTTTTTTGCCCCAGAGAGCTGGTTGTTAAACATTTACCAGTCTCCCAGTGCTTAGAGGGGTCAACTAACTTGACAAGGTCACAGGGCTTGTGGTGACCCAACCAGACATTTGGACTCCAGAGAGCTTACAGCTATGCTCTTCTACCTCTTAAAAAATAATAAATGTTCTTCAACAAGTTAATTGCTAGAAAATAATAGACATGAAGAAGGGTTAAAAAATGTCTTTTTTCTTTTAAAGCACTGGATATTACAGAAGAAATGATATGATGTCTAGAATTGGCTTTAAGAATAATACCAGAAGTGGCCAGGTGTGGTGGCTCCTGCCTATAGTTCCAGCTATTCGGGAGGCTGAGGCGGGAAGATTTTTTGAGCTCAGGAGTTCAAGACCAGCCTAGGCAACATAACTGAGACCTTGTCCCTAAAAAATAAATAAGTAAATAAATAGAAATTGAAAAAATAAATAAAATGAATGGATCATTCATTCATCAGGGATCCTCAAAGTGTGGTTGCCTGACCAGTCACATACAAATCACCTGGGAACTTGTTAAAAATGTAAAATCTCAGGTCCCACCTCAGACCTACTGAATCAGAATCGGGCCTGGCCATGTGTGTTTTAACAAGGTTCTTCAGATGATTCTGATGCAAACTCAAGTTCAAGAAACACCAGTTTAGGTGAAGCATGATTCACCATGAGTTGATGGTTATTGAGGCTGGTGACAGGTACATGGGGTCTGGGGAGTTCATATGTGTCTTTGAAATGTTCTATTATAAATATATTTTTTTAAATGATTAAGCACATTGGAAGGGGGGAGTGTCAGTATGATTGGGGAGGGGTCACTGCTAGATGACCTGTGGATATGGAGTAAGACAAAACGGGTTCTTGTGCCTGCATCTTTATTGCCTTTTGAATTAAACATCTAAGATTAACAGGCAGTTCTCCCCCTTGCCCTCACCTCCACCAAGTCCAACTCCTCATGTTTCTCCTCATTCGGGGATTAGATCCTGGAACCTCAAATCTCTTAGAGAAGCAGCTATTTGAATTATCAGCTTCTACCTAAAACCGTGTGACTATAAAATATGCCACCCACCAGACCTGCTTTATCAGCTGCAGACTTGAGGCAATTAATTAATTTTATGCAGCCTCTCACCACACAAGCTGCTGGACTCCTGGCCCATTGTATTTCTGGTTTACTTAGCAGATAGGGCCTAAGAGCCTGTAACTATTTACCTCCCTCTGGAGGGGCCCTCTGGGGCAATGAATTCATTAGTTGGTGTTTGCAAAGCAGCAGGAAACCAAAAGAAGCATTATGCACGTTTTTATTTTTATTTATTTATTTGGCTTAAGCTCACATCCTAGTAACGTTGTCCAATCCTGTGGGTGTCAGTTTTCCTCTGTCTGGGTCCCTCATGCCCCCTTCTCTCCAGTTCATTTTTCTCTCGTTTTTGCTATTTCCCCCAACTGGAAACCTCTTTGATGAAGTTCTGGCTCTGTCTGCCCATCAGATGAAATATTTAAGAACTTTTAGGTGTCCTTTTACCCCATCTCTGAGCAGCAGTCCTTTTTCTTTTTTCCTTTCTTCCCCACTTTTCTTTTGTCTCCCTTCTCTTTTAAAAAAGTCCTAATGGACTTTGTCAAGAAATAGCAAGGTCATCCTTTCTAGGAACTATGGAGAGGGGACAAGAAATGGAATGGTGGTTTTCTTGTAGAGAAGGAAAGGGAAACAGACTATAGAAAAGGAGTTTGATTCCGCCTCCCAGAGTGCAATCCGCCTCCCAGAGTGCTAGGATTACAGGCGTGAGCCACTGTGCCATGTGTGGCAAGTGATACACATTTAAACATAAGTTTCCACATCATTCCAGATCCAAGTGCTTGTCATGATCTCTTTGATTCCTTAAGGGATACTTATTGATGAGAACTTTTATTATTCTAAAAACAAGAGCAGGCAGGCATCTGTATGTAGCCTAGGGCCTGGGTCATAGGAGGTGCTCCACTCATGCTTGCTGAATGACTAAATTAATTTTGGACAGCACATGGTTTCATTAGTGTTTCTTTTTTAGGGTTTACTGTGATTAGTCAAATCTAGAAACTAAATTAAGTCTCCATGCTACCTCACAACACAGTCTTCCCTAAGTTTAACCTGTTCTACCAGTCTCGGAAAAAAAATTCAGCCAAATTGCTTATAAAAATAGTAGATAATTCAAATTTCTGCGATTTGAAAAGCACTGCAAGGACACTGTACTGCACAAGGCTTTATGAAAAGGAGAATCGTTAGTACTCAAGCAATCCATAGCTTAGGGAGAAAAAAACCACAGTGGCAAAGGGACAAGTCCTTAACTTGTCTCCCTACCTCTTCTTCAAGAAGGGTAATCCCAACTGTAACAGCTACCGAGGATTACAGGCTTAATATGCTAATACCAAATAATTTGCTGAACACTGTACAGCTATTATTTAATATCTCACTTAATCTTCATAATAATCCCACAGGGAAGTATTATCATCCCATGTCACGAGGTGTGGAGGGTTTAGGAAAGCTGAGTCCCACACTGAAGGTCACACCATTGTGGTAAAGGTGGAGCTGGGACTTCATCCCTGGCCCTTTTGGTGAAAGGCACTGAAATCTTTGTCACCATTATCCTAGTCCGTGCTCCTGGAAACCCTATCGATGGGTTCTAACAGGAATCACGATCAAGAGCAGGTGGCTTTGCAGGCGTGTGTGCACATGGAAGTGGGCAGGACGGGCCCGTGGCTGCACTGTGGGAGCCTCTAAGGCCGGTGCGATGACCCCAGTTGTCACCCCTTGGCAGTAGCTCTGCTTACTCCTCGGTGACGCTGCCTCCTGACTATGGCCTCTGACTGAGATCTCTGCCTTTTCCACCTCTAACCACACAGAGAGTTCGTGATTCATAACTTAACTCGGGCTTGTAGTCATTCTTGTATTGCTCTCTAAACTTTGTTCCTTGTCACACCACCAGACAAATAGTGATGCTTCTGAGGCCAGAGACCTGGCTTACGTTTTTTGTACACAACTCTTCTTAAATAGAGCACTGGACTCAAATATTGACTGACAAAGTACATTTTTAGTAGACAACCATCCCAGAGCCTCTATGAGTCAGTTAAGATTAATGAACATGAACAGCTACTCTAGCAGAGGAGGAGAAAAATTGAGGAGGAAACCCTCAAACCCTCAAACTGAATTTTATGATTCTGGAAAGAATGCTGTGTATCTATTTTTAAATGCAAATAGCAGAACTTTAAGGGGTGGACATCTCCCACCCTATAACACACATAGTTCAGCTACCATTTCCTTCCTCTCATCCTAACTTCTCAGCTGTAGCTAATTTTCTAGCATCTCCTGTGAAGACAGGGATATCCTTAGGGCACCCAAAGTCTGTGCAGTGAGGGTGGGGGTGGAGGGATGGTGGGGGTGGGGGATGAGGGCAGGGAAGGTGAGGGGAAGAACCAACATTTTGCTTGGAAGCCTGAAAATAAATTTATCCTTTTGATGCTAATAACTTAAAATAGCATATACAATTATAGATCAAATCCTGTAGATATTTTCTCTTTTTTGCAACTTTGTGGAACATTTTAAATACAAAGAGGCGGGTGGGGTGGGGGATTTACTCTTTTGTAATTTGTATGTGTGGTCCCGATTCTTGGTGGTCTAGGTTTGTTGTGATTTCTACTAACCTAGCTACTCTTAACTTTGAAATTGTGTGCAGGCAATCTACTGTTACCTGTATCAGATACAGAAATCCTCAATGAAAGAAACAATGCACCTTGAAAATGGAATCCTCTCTCTTTTTGCATCACTCAATCTTTGCCCACCCAGCATCGGACCTACCTCCACTGGTGTGCCCGGCGCTGGAGTCCTGGCCTCGCAGGACCTGTGGCGAGCCATGATTAACCTCAACAGGAATTCCTTGGACACTCTGGAGGAAAGGAATGTAGACTAGTCATATTGCCCTTGGTAGCCTAATAGAAATATTTGACCCCAACAGGTATTTCCCTCCCAGGTGTGGAAGACTTTTCCCCCTAATTTCACCGGCAAGGCTAAGGGTGTCTACACCAGGGAGAGTCCCACACTGTGGTTGGCAGCAGAATGTGTGTGGAGAGAGGCTGGTATCAAACAGGGAAAACAGAAAAGACTGCTTTTCTTTTCACTGAAAACTTTTCTCCTAGGGAGGTGTCCAAGGGCTTGAAACATGCAAAGAAATCTTCCTGAAACAGCAAGGTTTCCGAGCTGACTCGCTCCCTGGCCCATGGCAAGGATCAGGTAATGTCAAGGAAGGCTATGCTGTCCAATGCCACATGGGGCTACTGAAATTTAAATTAATTAAAATTAAATTAAATATTCAGTTATTTAATTGCATTAGTTACATTTCAAGTGCTCAATATCACATGTGACTAGTGGCTACTGTGCTGGACAGCGCAACTACAGGACATTCTCATCTTTCCAGAATATTCTACTTGACAGTGTTACTGTAAGGCAAACCACTTAGCAGAGGCCGCCTCACTGGTCCCAGACAGTGGTGAGCTGCAGCCATGATCCTGAGGGCCCCTGGTGAGGCTGGAGTGAGGATACAGAGTCACAATAAAGCTGCACAAACAGCACAGGTATGGTCATCAGAGTGAACACTTAATGACACTTTCAATAAACACCTTTCTTAAATGTAGCACTTGGTTCAGTGTCACTCCAATAAGCATTAGAAACCCTAGTTCTGTGCAAGTCACAATGTCTGCCCCCTTGGAGTTCTTAACCTCTAAGTAGAGGCAGGAAATAAATAATAATAAGCTGTGATAAGCTGAAAAGTAGATATTTGCCAAGAGACAATAAATTACTTGGAGAGGGGGATCAGGGAAGGTTCCCGAAGACCGGGATAGGTAAGCCAAATTTTGAAGGGTAGCTAGAAGTTTGCAAATAGATGAGGGGGTAGGAGAAGGTTCAAAAAAGAAGAAACTGCAAAACAGTTTGGAGAATGCAGGACGTTTGGCGTTAGAGGATTGTGAAGCGGAGGAGGGTTAGTGGCAGAACAGGCTGCCGCATTTGCAGGGCACATGCAAAAGGAAACTGCAGGGACCCTTGCTCAAAAATGATTCAGATTTTCAAGATGGTGATAGGTGAGCATTAAATCCAGTGAATGCACAGGTCACATGCCCATGAAGCAGGCTATCCTGGTGGCAGGAGATGAAGTTAAAGAAAAAGGGAAGGACCATCTCATTAAGGCCTTTTAGGATCGGGATTCAGAGGTTGGACTGTGTCCTAAAGCCAACAGTGAGCATGAAAGATTCTTAAACTGGGGGAGGTGAGGCCAGGCTTGCATTTTATAGAGACTATGCTGGGGGCAGCACCGCAGGAGCCCTGCAGGAAGGCTGGTTAAGAAGTGATTGAGGCAGTGGCTCATGCCTGTAGTCCCAACACTTTGGGAGGCTGAGGTGGAAGGATCCCTTGACCCTGTCTCTATAAAAATAGAAAAATTAGCTGGGCATGGTGGCATTCATCTGTAGTCCCAGCTACTTGGGAGGCTGAAGCAGGAGGATGGATAGAGCCTAGGAGTTTGGGGTTGTTGTGAGCTATGATGACACCACAGCACTCTAGCCCAGGAGACAGAAGGAAGACTCTATCTAAAAAAAAGGAAAAAAGAAGGAAGAAGAAGAAGAGATTGAAAGATTGAAATGGGACATTGTCTGGAGAGAGAACGAGGACAAGAGCAGTGACAGACCATGGGACAGAAAGGCGCTGGGGCTCTCAGAGCTCTGTAGGTGTGAACCGCGTAAGGCACACTGACGGGCTAGCCTATGTGCAGCCGGCTGCTCTCCAGCCAGATCTCTTGTGCCGTCTCCTTGGCATGTTCTGGAGTCTTTGGGTTCCCATTACCTCACACAGGGCAAAGGCTGAGGGAGGAGGGACAGTGGAGGGGCTGATGCAGGACCTGCCACAAGCGCTGTGCCAAGAACCCTTTCAGGAATCGCCCTGCTCTGCTTCCCAGAGGCAGGTGTTTTCTCCAGCTCTGATCTGGGGAGAGTCACATAACTGCTCCTCTCCAATCCAGTTCTAGAAACACAGCCTTCAGAGGAAGGTAAATGATCGTGGTTTCAATAACTGCTCTCTCAGATTTGCATTTCCTGATTTGGGTATCTGTGACATTCCCTGGGCCATTGTCAGAGGGTTTCACTTTTCATTTCCTAGCTGAATCAGGACCTTTTGAGGCTGGTGAGGGTGAGGGAGCCAGGATGTGACAGGACATCCACTAAGAGCAGAGGATGATTCCACAACGTAGCAGAGAGGGAATAAAAGAGAAACAAACACCATGAGGGCACAGCCCTGAGCCCTCCTTGACTAGCTGGACAAAAAAGGAAAAGTGTGTTATCAGTGCCAGGCCTCCTTGCTTTTGATGGACTATCTCTTCTAATCCTCATTGCAATGCCTTAAGGTGAGTATAATAATCCTTTTACACATGAACATGCCCAAGACTCTCCCTGTCCAGGGCCACCTGCCCGCTGGTTGGTGGGATGTGGATTAAAACTTTGGTTTCAAATTCACATCTGGGGGTGGCTGCCCTGCCCCTCCCGACCCTAGTGAATACCTGGGAGCAGCCCTGCATCTTCTTGTTTCTATTTCACCTGCAGAAAGACAAAAAAGAGAAGGCAGGACAGTGAGACAGCCTTGGGTAAATTCTACCTGCCTTGTTTCTAAGGGGTGGTGGTGGTGGTGGAGATTTTATTCAACTCTTGCATAGAGCAGACGTCTCCATTAGCTTATTTGTAAAAAAATTAAAAAATGAACAAACATTAGGACTCTGGTCTGACCCAGAGAGGGAAAGGAAAGGCATATTTAATGCATTTGATGGGAAATAAAGAAAAACACAAGTAACAGAATGAAGCAGGTACAGGCTATGAATTGGCTGCATTGGGCTAGGTTGTTCTAAGACATTTTTTAGAAATGCTACATGAATACCCTTGTTTGGTAAGTCTGACTTGGTGAGGTGACTCTGGACTTTCAGGAAATCAGGGAAGGTGGCGGGGCTGGGTGGGAGCGAGCCAGAGAAGGAGAATGAACTCGGGCATCGGTGAGACCAGCCTAATTTTAGGGTAGCTCCTCTGCCCCACAGAATGTTCCTCGTACCATGAGCTCTAACAAGCGGGGAGCACACCCGGTTGTTTTAGGGATGAGTGCAGAGGAAGAGAGGGAGAACGACACCAGGAGGAAGGTTCCAGCACGGAGGTATCTGCACAAGAGCTCAGAAGAGAGGGCTGCTTTCTCAGGGCGATCGCTCGTTCACATTGGGGTATTAATTTTACAAGCAGGAAAAGCTGTCCTAGACATAAAAGTTTTCGTGACAGAAAAAGTCCACAACCCGTGAGCTCTGGATGAAAGGCCTGGGCCTCTGGGGGCATCTTCCAGGCTGCAAAAAGGGCCAGGCTGCTCGAAAGGTACTTGAAACAAATAAAACAGTGACTCTAAAACGCACCCATATGTCACATTCTTACAGAAAAATACCCTCTGTAATTAGTTACAAGCTTTAGAGAATAAAATCCAATTTACCTGTCAAAGGGAGAGGCTGAATTGTCCCCCCCACTGCTGGGGGGTTGTGTAGCGTGTGGACTCCCTCCCTCCCAGCCCTATCTTCCTCCCACCCCTTTATTGGTGAAGACTGGAAAAAAAAAGTTGGAAAAATCCTCTAAAGACACACAGTGTTCCAAGCACAATCAGACCACTAATTACTGTTAAGCTTGAGCCCCTTTTTGTGTTCTGAGGGGGGACTTCAGTGGGTAGCAACCACTTGGGCCTTTTCATGAGTTCGGGCTCACTCCTGAATAGCAGATCTTTTCTTCTTCCCCTTTTCAGCGTTTGCTTGCCACCGCCTTTCTTCTCCTTCATCTTCTTCTTCACCTTCTCCTTTTCTTTCTTTCTTTCTTTCTTTCTTTCTTTCTTTCTTTCTTTCTTTCTTTCTTTCTTTCTTTCTTTCTTTCTTTCTTTCTTTCTTTCTTTCTTTCTTTCTTTCTTTCTTTCTTTCTTTCTTTCTTTCTTTCTTTCTTTCTTTCTTTCTTTCTTTTTTCCTTCTCCCTCCCCACCCACCCCGCCCGTTTTCCCCTGCTTTTGGCTTTTCTGATAGCGTTTTTTCTTCTGGCCTTGTGTTTTAAGTCTCTAAATGAAACTTGACTGTCCCCACGGCCGGTTGGAGAAGCACAAAGGCCTCCCCTTCCACTGGCTACAGTAACGCCATTGTGTGTCCTAACAATGCACTAATTGGCGGTGACAATTGTGGAGTTGGGGAGGAAGAAGGGGGCCGCCTTTTCCAATCAGGGAGGCACGGAAATAAAAGGAGAGGAGGAGAAGGAGGAGGAGGGCGGGAGGCCCAGGTTCCTGCCAGAGAGGGGGAGCAGCCCCACGGAGGGGCACAGCGCTCCGGTTTGTACCGGGCTTTCTATATTAATAATAAAAGTGAAGGAGAAAAATCATTGTTTTGGAAAAACATAGAGACTTTGCTGCAGTCTGCTTTAGACCCCTGGTGGCAGGAGAGGGGAGGGGACGAGAGGGAGGTGTTAGTGGACAACCCTGCCTGACAGAAGGGCAACTTGAGGGGAGCCAGCCCCCGGGCGGCCAACACGCCCGGTTCCCGCAAGCACACGGATGGTTGAAAGTTGGGGTGTCCAGGCTGGTGCATAGTGAAGCCCCCCCCATTTCAACCACATTTCTGAATGAGTGGGTGAAGCCAGAGAAGGGAGTCCAGGAGATGTGAACGGTTATTCTGACCTTTAAAGAGCATGTGGGTTGGATGGTAGACAAGAACAAAATGGTAGCCAAAGAACTCTGGGGCCCAGGATCTGCTGGAGAAAGGCGGGAAACCCTAGCAGGTCACCTGACACCTGCAGGAATCTCAGAGCCACCCGGTTGCAGCATATCCCCCCCTTTACACAATGACTCACCTTTCCAGCCATCTCCTGGGATGCTCTTCCTGGTCATGTGGGTCAACCCACATCCTCTCTCTTGCTTTCTCTCGGCACCCTGGAAATAACGGATCCTGACTGCTACCCCTGCCCCCGGGTGCCTGGCTCAGTGCTAAGTGCCTTGTACACATCGTTCACTTAAATCTCACAGCAGTCCCGTGACTTGACTACTGCTATTGTCCCCACAGGAAAGGCAAATGGGGAAATTGAGGCCACTTAACTGCTCTAAGAGGTTAAGTAACTTGCCCAAGGTCACCCAGGATGAAAATGGAAGAGCCCAGAATCTAAAAGTTGGACTCTAGAGCTTGTCCAACTTTCAATGTATTCAGGAGCATCTGACAGAGGACTTGGCACACAGGAGGGGCTCCGTAAAGGTCTGCTGGCTGAATGGGGGTGGCAGAGAGGGACAAAGTATTGGCAGAGATCCTCGAGCTTGCAGTGGGTCTCAGACTTCAGTCTGCACCAGAATCCCCCGTGCACGTGAGTGCGTGTGCGTGTGCATGTGTGTGTGTGTGCGCATGGTGGTGGTGATGGTAAAACACAGGCCCCTGGGCCCCACCCTCAGAGTGTCTGGGACAGTAGGGTGAGGTGCTGCACCCTGAGAATGTGCATTTCTAACACATTCCCTACTGACCCAATGCTGCTGGTCTGTGGACCGCGGCGTGCAAACGGCAGCTCTAGCTGTAGTACACTGTTCCCATTGCAGCAGGGAATTCCATTTCTCCCATTATCTCTGTCTTTTTGTGGCTCGAGATCAGGAGTTTTATTAAGGGGAAATTAAAGTTGAAAAGTTTTGACCATAATGATAGATAATTTTCGGCTCCCACCCGCTTTAAACAACAATCTTAATCAAAGAGTCATTTATATCTAATGAAAAAAAAAAAAGTCAGTTTTGTCTCTGACTAACCACACTGCGAACAATGACATTTTCTAGAAAATATCTGAACAGATTCTTTTATTTGGGAGGACCCTTTTGGGGAATCTGTCTCTCTCACAGATTTTTGTGCCTTTTAATTTTGTTTCATGAATGTCTAATACTGTCAACTCAGATACTCACCCAGTAGAAGAAGTG